ATATATATATATAACTACTTCAGGAAAAATTTTTGTTTTAAACCCATAAACAGAGAAAGTAAGTGATTTCCCAAAAGATACACAGCAAATCATAGTCTGAAACATAACCCACAAGTTTTTACTATTTCAGCTTTCCTCACCATAGCCTATTCTGTTTTTCATTTTGAAATCTATTTATTTTTCTGTTGAACAGAGCATGTGTCCATTATAATTCATAGGCAGTATGTTGTGTCCTTAAAAATGCTTCTGATAATGAGGAAGACTTCTTCTGCATATGTTCATGTTATGAAAAGTTCATTGCAATTGCCAGGAATGATTTCTTCCTAAGACACACACTATACAATTAAAAATGAGCATTTGTTACTGTGGATGTTATAAAATGTTGAAGTATCTCAGCATAGAAAAAAGACCATTGCTAAAAAACCCCCAAGAAGTAGAAGACTGTTCACTGTCTGCAAAATAAAAATAGAGACTAATGGAAGGAAGTCATTCAGGCAGATACACAGATTTTGAGATTATTGGAATTCCCATCAGTAATGTGATTTTAAAGGAAGTTACAGAGGATCCAGCAAAATTCTGAAAAAGAAGGGAAGAAAAGAAACCAATATATCAATCAGTGTTTAAACAGATCACCTTTGGCACCAGAGAGAAGTTCATATATGAGTGTTTCAGAATTTTAAGTAGAAAGAAAATTTCTCCTGATATTTTCTTTGTTTTCAGGAAAACTCAAAAGGAAAAGGCTCGAAAGAACTTCTTACTGAGATTAAATTTTCTCTGAGACAGCACTGAGTCAGAAGAACCATGTCCATCATATTCCTCTGATAGACTTCTGATTACATTTCAGGAGTTTACTCAGACATGCAATTTCTAAAGCATACAAAAAGAACTTCAGGGAGAGATAGGCAGTGAGAAGGCTTGAAAAAGGAAATCCAGTTGAGTAGAAAATGATGAAAGTGTTCATCCAGCTGACAGCAGACCAGCAAAAATAGAAGAATTGGTGATGAAAGTCAAGAAAGTTAGGGCAATGATGCAGGTAGATCTCCAAGCTCAATTCTGGCACAATCACAATTAGAGCATGTAAAAACAGCTGTAAGAACTGAAGATTAATCAGAAGTAGGTACCTATGGAGCTACTCTAGTCAGGTGAATAAGTCATTGAATCGAGATGTAATGACCTTTCCATAAACATCATCCAGATCTGCTACAAAGTAGTAAAATTATACAAAACAAAACCAAAGACAGACAATTCCAATAATCTCATGGACTATTTCAAGTTAAATTGGTCGACAATTGAATCATAAATTTGACAGCTTATTTTATCGAAGCAATAAGAAGAGAAGAAGATTTTACAGGACAAGTGAATATGAGTAAGAGCCTTTGGCACTATTTCTTGCTGCTTGTACAGTTATTAATGCCAATACCACATTAAGAAAATGCAGTCACTTAAAGTGACAGCAAAAATGTGGACACATCATGGCATTCATAAATCCCATCCTTTAGGGCTTCTTCCTTTCCCAGCCCATGGGCAGGGAGATTACAAAAACCACTCTTCCACATGAGTAACTCCTACACAAGGCATCACCAGCATGGCCGCCAGACATAGTGTCACTGCTGTTCATCTGCATCAGCACACACGATTGTGCATGAATTCATGCACAAAGAGGGGCAATGAAAGGCATGCTTATTTGGAAATTAGGAGGTGACTGGGGCAGTTGCCTTAGGAACATTTTGTTAATAGTAACTATACTGTTCTGCTTATTTACTGAAGAACTTCCCACAGCAGCCTGACAAATGCCAGGAAAACCCCTGAAGACCTCTGGAAACATATTCTTTATGGTAAAATGCTTCTAGACTGTGTCTTCTGAAATCACAGAATACAGACTATATTTAAGCAAACAAAACATATCAGGGAGGAGGAGGAGTGTGGAGAGAAGGAGCTTCAACTCTTTTTGGAAACAACTTATTTCCTTCCTCCTGCTGTTTCCACCTTACAGGGAAAGCTGAGCTATACTTACAGCAACATTATATCTACAACACTGGCTCACATTAAATGTGTATATTTGCATAAATAAACATTTTTCTCTCAAGCACCACCTTCCTTAAAGCCCTAAAACTCAGAACATGAAAAAGCCTAAACTGTCTTTTCCATCTGGTCTAAAACCTATGTTTTATGAGGATATAAAACCAGCAACCCCCCTCTCTTCTGAAAGATTCATCTTATCACCTAAAATGGGAACAGCAGAGGGAGATAGAACAAAGATGGGAAATAGGGCAAGACAAAAATGGTAAATAAATATTTCACATGCTCTCAATACAACAAATTTTAGGCTCAGGAACACTTATCGCCTGCTGGGTTGTTATGAGGAGGCCACTGTGGAAACATGCTTTAACTGTGGAAGAAGTGAATTCTCTTCTGCCCCTTTCTGTCTGTAATTAACTGACAAGGACTAAACAAGAAAAGGACTAAAGTCCAGGATTTGCTGACATCCCCTCACCCCCCTCCTCCCTCCAGAAGATCATCCCTTCAAATTCCT